ATGTATGTTTCCATCTGTTACGATTCCTTGTTTATATTTTGTTCCGAGAGCAAGAGCTTTTCCATCAAGTGTCCATGTAAAACTTGGAACTGGATCAGCTGTACATTGACATTCTAAAAGTGCTGATTCTTCAAACATACGAACTTCAGGTGTTTTAATAAATGAAGGTCGACCACCAGCACTTTGATCTGGACCTAAATAAATATATTTTCAATTTTTTAATAATCAATAACTTAGTGTTTTGTTATTTCAATTAATTACACAATACAAAACCTTACAATGTTATGTATCATTTATACTATTATATCAATAGTAAATATTTACATATGGTGAATCTGTATGTATGAATGAAAGTTTTATATAGAATACTTACTCTCAAGATTTAAGGCAATATGTGCATTGCTTTCTCCTAATTTGTTTTTTGCTAAAACTTTATATTTGCCAGCATCTGATGCATTAACATCATCAATTTCAAGACATGCAACATATGTATTATTTGGTAAAGCATCACAATAAATTAAATAACGACCAGAATCTTGTAATGGTATATCATCATGTGTCCAAAATATATCTGGTTTAGGTTCAGCAGATATTTTACATTCAAATATTAAACGTTTTCCATCATTTTCTTGTCTTATACTTGGTTTTTGAATAAATACTGGTGTAGTACCTTCAGCCGAACTAAACAAAGTTCAAAAAAACAAAAGACGTTTTTTGTTTTTTATTCAATTTAAATAAATCAAATAAGACTAGATTTACTTAGCAGCACTATTTGTTGTTTCAGTATCATCATCACTTGAAAGATTTAAATTAACATTAGCTGTTATTTCACCGGCTTTATTTTTAGCGACAATTTTATATGTACCAGCATCATTAGCACTAAGATCAGAAATTTCAAGTGCAACATTGTAATTATTTCCTGTTGCAACTTGAATTGTTTGTTTATGTTTAGTTGAATTTGAAATTTTATTATTATTTTGAAACCAGGTTATATCAGGCTTGGGTGTACCTTGCACTTGACATTCGAGAAAAAGACGTGTAGGATCATCTGGTTTTTGTCGAATATCTGGCGGTTTAGAAAACCGTGGTGCACTAGCCGCCATTCTTCTCTTTCTCTTGCTATTAATCCAACAATTTACTAACTAATTATCTATCAAAAATAAAAATAAAAGTAAATAATAAAAATATCAATAAAAAGAATATATTAGCCCTCCATTTTAGTTATATATGTATATATGTGTATACATATGGAAGAAAAGTATCAAAGAAATAATCATAAAAAAAATATTATAGAGATAGTTGACGACAACCTAAGCCTAAATGAGAGAAAGGGAGAGAGAGAAGAAACAAGACGAAGAAAACTATGTACTATTGTATACGGTAAAAAATATCCCCTTATTCCTATATAAACGCGTTAGCCGGTGCTGATCATCGAAGTATCTCCATATACACACGCTTGAAGAAGAGGGGAAAAGAAGGGTGGTACACTCTGGTGCTAACTGAAAGAGCGGAAGATGATGACAAAAGTTCTTTTCTCTTTTTTCTTGTATATGATATCAGTTGCATTCTGATGTGGTTTTTTTTTCCACATTCGTTTTCTACAAAGAACAGAAAGAATATTTCTCAACAACTTATAATGGACCATGAAGAATTTGTATATAAATATGTATAGAGTCGCCAAACGAAAGTTTCTCTCTGAAAACTAGAGAATAATTATAAAAAAAAAGAAGACTATTGATAAGATAGCAACACACCCATCCATCTTTAATGATAATATAATTAGAACTAGAATACACAAAAGCGTATTGTAGTTAGATGATATGACCAAAAAACGAGCAAATGTTTTATGATAAAGTCGAGCAATGTGATCGACATTAAGATGACAATAAAGCAAAAAGAATGTTAATCGTCCCTGGATGCATACAAGCATAAATAATGCAAAGCTTAATCGTCATGATAATGACCGCTATAGACATCGATATCTATCAATTATGCTCTTTTCCACGATTGAAAAACCATCGTTCTCTATTCGATTGAATAAGCAAATATTTTATCATACAAAAAAATATTTCCAACATGCAAATGAGGTTTTTTTTTTTTTTTCATTTTAAGATTTATATCAATGCATCTTACTCTTATATTGATATATATACACATTGCTGTCTAGATATTAACAAACCTTAAAGAAAACGAAGTTGATTAGACTGATGTAAAAAAGAAAAAACAAACTCTCGAAAAACAATGAAAGTTGCATTTGTTTCCTTCGTTTTCTTCTACATAGAAAAAAACGAGATGCATGTCTATTAATAGATGAAATATATATACAAACGCATACGCCACCATACGCTAGATGTTTCCTCGGCCCACATATATATATATATATATATACATATACTATGAAAGTGGGTGTCTGCAACTGATGTGGATAATCATACTAGTGCAAGCATAAGAAGGTTGCACATTAACGTTGTCTTCATCAATAGAATACTGTCGTATGCATGATGATGACGACATGATAATATTTAGCAATAGATAGGAGATATCCTTATCGAAAAAATCTATAACACAAGATACCAGTAGAAAATAATAGCAAAAAACAATTTCACATGAAGTATTCTATTGATACAATCTATCGTATAACTAAGACAAAATAGACAATGATGATAGAAAACAAAAGCCCTTGATTATTAACAAGAAAAAGACCAGTGTACCTGTCAATTTTTTTGTATAAACAAATGAAAAGATTAAAGTTCAGAGTATTCAAAACAGATACATTCTTATAATATTGATCCAAAAATAAAAAAAACAATAATATAATATCAAGACTTCTTCATCTTTTTTTTTTCTTTTTATAAATATGATTAACAGTTTTTAGTTTTTTTTATACTTTGAATGCTTCTATACCTACATTTTATATCACTCTAGAACTTATACTGCGTTTCTTTTTTATTCTGCACTTACACACATATTGATACCATCAAACAATGACCTTCTGGAATTAATTTTCAAGTTTTTCTTATAGACTAGTGACAGACTACATCAGTTGTATAAACGAATAATAGTTGTGCATATTAAGTTATCGATCACCCATACTTAAGAATGTCGTGCAAAAACAACAACAACAACAACAACAACAACAATCATGATTATCATCATCTTATGTTTATTCTTCTTTTCTTCATTTCACTATGTCTATTACATAGAGATAAAATATAAATAGTTAATGCATGAATTTTAAAATCACATTCATAAATATAATAATATACACATAATGGTATACATATAAGTGTAATGAAAAATGGAAAAATAAAAATAAAAATAATATTTAAATTATTACGTATTAATTTATGATCAATAGAATGTGACATCATATTATCATCTATTGTATTTAAATGTTTTCGAATATTATTTCTACAAGATTTAATAAAACAATAATCAGTTTGAGTTGAAAATGAATTTATTAAACATTGACGATCAGATTTACAAGAACGAGTACGTACAATATGACCTATAAAATAAAAAAATTATAGATAGCACAACTGGAAATAATGTGACAGTATCTTCGATAATCTTAATCTTTATATAATCTGACAGTTAAGATAATTTTTCTTTTGATTAATGGTATATTGACATAAAATGAAATTTGACTGGATATAATCTTGATAGAAAAATCTTTTGTTTCATTTTATTTTTCGATTTTTTTGTTTTAAAATTTTAATTTCATAATAATAATAAATTATTCTTACCAATGCCACAAGTAACTGAACATGAACTCCATTCTGACCATTGTTGCCAATCATTGATTTGAATACATGTTTCTGAATTAATAAAACATTCAATAAGATTATCTAAGATTTGTTGTAAATTATTATCATTAATCATATTTGTATAAGCTCGTAATATTTGATCATTTTTACATTTATCAAGTTCTTTACTACACAAATGGATAAGTATTTGTTTTATAATTGGATATCGCCATAATGCTTTTAAAATTAAATCAAAATAATATCGATCTTCATTACTATACACGTATCTATAGATAGTAAATAGTAGTCCAATAATTACAAATGAGTAATACATTAGATTGTTCATTTGATTTAGAAATGAAAGAAAACCCGCGAAAATATCCTGTCAATAGAGAAAGAAAAAGCGATCAGAAAATATTAAACATTTATTTTAATTTATTAATTATTCAAACTAAAAAATACAAATGTAAACATCAATTGAACTATTTTATAAACAAATTTTCGATATCCATAATGCAATCTTAGTTATATAATTCAATTCAATATATATTTATTTGTTTCCTAAATGTTTTCTCTTTATTTTCTATTATTTACTCCATCAAGTAATATCTCTTGTCGATCAATAACTTTGCTAATGGCAATTACATTCTTAACATATCCAGTTGAGTAGGTCATCGAATTAGAAACATATTTATATTTCTGTTTTGTTTCGAGCATAAAATCGAATAGATTTGTTTGCATAATCATTTATATTGTCACATCGAACAGGATATTACAAACTATATGAATTTTTATCTATTTATTTTTCTTCTCCCGAAAAAAAAAACCCCGAATATTTATTATTTTATATTGACAATAATACACACAATACAAATATAATATATATGTATATTAATAATAATGTTTCGATAAAATACCAAGGTGAAGGCGCGCACATATACATTAAAAACTTATTTATCAGTCTAACCGACAAAGAAGACAAAAGAAAAGACTAGATTAAATATCAAGATAACATATTTTGCGTAAAATTCTTTGATTTAAATACAAGCTAATGTAAAATATCTGAATATCATGATGTCAATTAATCAAGAACAAAAAAAAAGAAAAAAAAAAAAAGAAACTAGCTCTAAGAAGATAAAATATAGACAAAAGTCTAAAACATGCACAATAAAAAAAAATCACCACAGTACAAAAGCGCACTAACGTACAGCGAAAGATTATTAAACATGACTATATTAAATTATGATATTCTCGTCAACATGGACATAGAACATTGAGAATGTATTTTGTTAAAAGTTCTGGCACTTGAGGACTATCTTCATTAATTGCGTGAAGTACTACAAAGAATAAAAAACAAAATTATTTTAATTGAAATCAATAATCAAATATTCTAACTAACTTTTATTTAAACTTTGTAAATGTTCAACCGATAAATATGTTGGATGATCACGATCATATGGAATCACCGTTGTAAGATACTAAAAGTAAAATACCAAAAAGAATTGAAATCATGATTATTATGATTTTAAATCTCGTCGACATATAATTAAAAGCAGCATATGTATATATAGCATTTTAAAATAGTGATAAGCATATGAAACAACATGTATTGATAAATATGATATAAGTGTGACTAATCGATGTTTATTTAGTTTAATATTAGTTATGTAATCTACCTGAGTCTTTCGAAATAGTTCATGCCAACTAGTCGAAAAAATGTCGAATACTGATCGACTACGACAGGATAATATCTAAACCAAATTTAGTGTTTTTTCATGGAATAAAATCATTTATATATATATGTATATATATATTCTTTTGTGTTTTGTTATTGAAAACTCTTGAGTACAATTTATTAAAGTCAAATAAGAGATGAAATACTATTCATTTTATTGTATGATAATAATAGACAATATCTAACTAATTATTCCCAATGTTGCTACATTCTTAATATGGTCTTATCAATCATCCAAATATTCTACAAAAAATAATAATAAAACTTGTTTTAACTGTTGTTTATTGTTGTCTATTTTTAGATTGTTATTTGTTTTTGTCAAGGTCATATTAACTAACTAAACTATATCCAGTTTTAGACATTTCAATAATCTCAAAAACAAACAAAAAAAAAAACATTTGACCTTCAATTAATTAAATAGACACCCACCCGAAGATCTATGAAAGATTATTTCTTTACTAAAAACATTCGTCATGTTATGCATATATATGACAATTCTTTCACATATCTTATTACAGACAATGTTGTCTAAAATATTCTATATATCTAACTATCCATGGAGTCTTTTGAATACATGTTTCATTAATAGACATAGAATGTTATATTTTAATGCAAATAGATTGTTAACATGCTGATCAGAATATGATTAATTCATATTAGTTTCAAAAAAAAAAATATATATATATATATATTCATTTAATTGATCAAAAGTTTTCATATGGAAAAAAAAGATAACCAATTTATTTTCTTGCCGTTTTTTTTTTTTCGATTAATCAATATCATCATGTAAATATGAACTCATGACCTCATTTCACTTCTCCTATCCTAATCCAATTAATAATCAGTGTTCGATAGTATAGAAAAAGGAAAGAAAAAGTTTACTCAACAACTCATCTGTATAATAATAAATATTCATCTAACATTTTTTTTTCTGTGGTGTTTTCTCTAGGAAAAGAGAATTCCCAATACACATTAGTCGCACGTTCATACTAATCGTATCTACAAGAGCAATAATACAAACTGTTTGATTCTATTACCCATTTTTCAATTATATATAAAGAGAGAGCGCAAAATAGAAAGAACATATAATATTTACCGTTCCCGGTTCAATATAATTGCTATTTCCTAATATAGAACGACGTTTCGGACGTTTTTCACCCTGATGATGTCGACGTTTATTCTGAAAAAAAGAAAAATGTCATTTTTTTTTTGTTTGTCTTACGGAAACAAAACAACATTTACTTGAATACTAAGTACAAGTGAAATAAATGTATTCTTTGTTTCTTTTTCATATTCAAGTTCATCTCGAATAGCTAATTCCTAAACAAGAGAAAAAAAACAATTAATCAAATAAAAAAGAACAAAAAAGTTTTTATTATTTGTTTCAATGGCGTAGCCAGGAATTTTTAAGTCATAGGACCGAACTATTTTGAATTACGGACAGCTAAGGACAACCGTTATGATTTCAAAAATATCTATGATCAATAATTGTTTAAGCATTGCATAGCTCAATAAATCCATGAGCAATTGTTCAATGGTCCTACTCTTGGCTACGCCACTGATTTGTTTCTTGTATTTACTTGAACAAGAAAATTTGATAATTCTTTAACAGATGTATTTAATTCTTCATATAATTCATTTAATGAATAAATTGTTTGTGATTTTAAATCTATTTCATCATTATGCATACTTGATGATAAATATTTAACACGTCTTGTACGTAAATCAAGTATATCAGATGTTGATTGATCATCACAATAACCTGAATCAGGTGTCATATCTTGTAACATAAAATCAATTTCACTAATAACTTGTTCAGCTGTAAGAAATGGTTCATGATTTGATGAAATAATAACTGAATGCATATCTAATTGTTCACGTAGTTCTTCTTCTTCATCATCATTTAGATCATCAATTGATGTTATATCATCTTCATTTGTATTTAATTTAGTTGTTTGATTATAAATACTATTCATTGCTATTTGACAACTTTGTGATATATTTGGTAATTTTAAATCATGACGAAGTGATGTACGAAGATTTTCAATTAATTCTGACCATGTACTATATGACAAAAGAAAATAATAATAATAATAATAATAATAAGAAAATAAAATGACTAGTAAACTAACTTTGATGAAGCAACAAGATCTTTTTGTGATGTTTTAAATTGTTTTTCGTCTAATTCAATTACTTGTTCATCTTTAAAACAAGCATTTATTGTATTATCAAATGATTTAACAAGATCTTCAAGTGAAATTGCTTTAAATGAATGTTCGCCTAATGAAATATTTTATTAAAAAATAAAAATGATGTTTTTTTTTTTTTTTTTTTCAACTAACCAAGTGCAGGATTTAATAATGTATCATTATTATGATTCGATATTGCTTGATCATCAGTCATATCTTCTTCATCAGAATCATCATTAGTATGTGAATGAGAATTCGTTTGAGTAAATTTTACAATAGGTGCACATGGATTGTCATATAAAACTCGTTTGTCACGTATTCCTATAGACATTAGCAAAATACTATGATAAACGATGAAGATAACAGAATCGATACAGGATTAATTAATCTTGTTTTTTTGTTTATTTCTTTCAAATAAATTCGATAGCCAATTATATTTTTTTGTTATATTGAAAAAATTTCTTTTTAATATAATAAATATTCGTTCAAATTCTTAGATTTTTTATTTTTATTTTATTATTTATTTATTTCTATAAGATCAAATTAGAGGATAAAGAATGAATGCTATGGTAGAAAATAAACCAATCAAATGAATTATTAGCAAGTTAACATGAATTATCGGTAGTTGATTCTGCAAAAGCAAAACTGCTAGACAAGTCAATACAAGATAATGCAATATATGTTTTTTGTTGTGCATCCAGCTGTCGATTCATTTCATTTAGATGTTATGATAGTTATGTTCAGTCATTAGTTTGTAACAAAACAACTGCCTATTGACATATGCGCATATGGTTTACTTAGAAATAAAGTCTTTTATCGAATACGAGTACTTTTCTCATACAATAGTTGATATAATCTCTATACTATAGAAACAAAACATTCTTTTCAAGATAATAAACAACAAATATGATATAGTAACTGTTATTTTAATGTGTAAATTAATACTGACGATATATATATACATGGAGAAAAAGAAATATGATGTCAATTATTGTTTCATTTGAAGTGTGTCAATTAGTCTATTTTAATTGAACTTTTATAGTTTAAATATTTTGCATTAAAATCGAGTTCTTTTTAGATTTAAATAAATTCATATTGAAACATCTTATTATTATGATTATTTAAAAGATAATATATTCAATCACAAAATGTGAGTTAGATTTATTTTAATGCAAAAGAAAAAAAGTAATAATAGACATTCTATCGTTTAACAATAATTTGCATAATATCTTTTTCATTCTTTAAAAGTTTATTTGTTCTTATATTAACTATAATCAAAATTAGCATTGATTAATATAATTCTTGTTAAAATTTTGATTGATTAAAACAACACATAGATGTTTCAATCGAAGTATTATCGATATTTGTTGAATTCTTTTTTTCTTCAAAAGAAAATTAGATATGTCAAATTTTTAATTTTACATACAATAAAATCTGATCCTAATCTTATTCATCCGAAGATTAACATTGAACCGTTCTTATATTCAAATCAATTTTTTTTTATTCCTGAGGTTCTTCTCAGGTATCGAAAGACTTTTTTGTCGTTATTATAGATCAATAGAGTTGCGCATATTGCCTACAAATATTTCATCTCTTTAAAAACTAGTAGAATAATAACAAAGATCTGAAACACTTTATGAAGATATTGAAAGTTCAGTATTTGACCTGAAAGTTGACGAATATCTAATTTTAAAAAGGCGGAAATAGATTCGTTCAATGAAGAATTTTATTTTCAATCAAAATCGGTACCAATACGTTAATGATTCAAATGTTTTTCTATTGATAAATGCCAAGTACTGACTGATTGAGGCATAATGATGTTTTTGGCCTTATGAGAAATCAGTTTATATGTGTGCACCAACGAGATATTTTATCAAGCACGTAATTCAATATATCCTTCTTAATAAGATCATTTTCAGACGGAAATTCTATGTCTGAAGGTCGACTTTATGCTGAAAACCTTGATGGTATGTATGTGCTTTCGTGAAATATTTGAATGATTAAATTTCAACTTATCATATTTCAGCTACTTAATAATTGAATACAACCTTCAAGTTTGACATTTATATTTCCCAACGGATGGAAACATGAAAAGCTTTCAAAACTTTACAATAAATCAATTAGATAAAAAGTAACTATTTTACTGCAATGAATTAAACTTTCGATTTCAAATAAACAAACCAGACTTCTACTATCTTGTCAAGGTGACTCATAAGTCTGAATATAATATTTATGTTGTAAGATAGAGCTTGAGCTTCTAATCTCAGTGAGTCATTTGAAATCGAAAAATCAGTTTATATTTGGAGAAATATGAGTGATTAATATCTAATTGGTTTAGCGAAAGTTTTTCATGTTTTCATCCATCTAGAAACATATATGTTAAACTTGAAGGTTGTATTGAATTACTGAATAGTTGAAACTTGATAAGTTAGAATTCAAGCAATCAAGTATTTTACGAATGTATGTACATACCCTCAAGGTTTTGAGCATAAGGTTGACCTTCATACATAGATTTTAGTCTGCAAATGATCTCATCAAGAATATCATATTTAATTATGTATGTGATTAAAAATAACCTCATTGGTATACGCATATAAACTATAACTTCATGAAGGAAAAAAAACAATCATTCTGCTTGAATTATAGCAAATAAAAACTATTCATTGAATGAATTGGTTTTCAACGAAATGAAAATTAGGCTTCAATGAACTTTTACATCAAATACTAATTTTAAGAACTTTCACAAAGTGCTGCAGATCATTTTTATGATTGGAATATATCTCAAAAAAATAATAAGATACTTGTAATTAATACATAAAACTAGATCGTACTTTAATAACTTCTCATAGAACAACGATAAAATGTTTTCCGACACGTCAGGAAGATTTCAAGTGTAAAAAATTGATTCGAAAACAAACAAGATTCAATGTTAATGCACAGATGAATAAGATTGGCATCAGATTTATCATGCAAAGTTAATAATGTACTATAGATCATTTATTTAAAAACAAACACAAAATAATTCTATAATTAATCGGGATTATATAGAAATATGATTGAATTCATATCTTTCCTATTTATCGATGAAGACAGTAAATTCTAATAGGAGTTTTTTTTTTTCATAAGATATTTTTTGTTTTTCTTATTTTATTTCATCTGTAAAAAAGTGCAATGATAAAATGATTTCGATAATTAACTCCGCATCAATGAAAATATCCTCTTCCTGTTGAACACTTGTGTGATCAACTGAATCAATATTATTATCAATTCGATAGTGATCAGCTTAAATTGATTTTTATCGATCAACATGCAAACTTATATAATTGATAAATGAATGTAATAATTGACAGAAAAGATGTTTATCAATTTGCAAATAATCGAAGCATTAATTTGGTAGTTTTAGTTCTCTAGGGAATGTGATTATGAGATATTTGTTGTTATGTGATAGATATTTTTTGAATATAAAAGTCTTTTCGAAAGGATCTCTTCTAAGTGAATCGAATTAATATGTGGTTATTCTCAAGATTTTATTGTAGAAAATAAGTTCTCTTTAATTTAAAAATGATATAATAATATTCGTGATTGGTGATAATATTGTTAACATATATTAGTAATGATGTTTTGATCTACTAATGTTATTGAAATAGATGGCATATAACATTGTCTTATTATTTTGCTTAGATTTGGAATTCGATAATTTATCATAATATAGAACATTGTGACATAAATCTAATTTGGATGTATGTATGGAATGTATGGACCTTTTCATTTCGTCAAATATTGGATTTTAGCCAATGCAAAAATAATATTAATATAACCTTTGTCTTATTTGTATTTGTTTTGTGATTAGCATGGAAAGAGTATTGTAAAGTAACTAACAATAATTTCTCTATGTAGATACATATTCGAATATATGATAAAAATAATAGACACTAGCAAAGAACTGATTTCAATGGGTATTTATAGAAAAGATACGTTAGTAAAGCATTATTAGTTAGACTTTTTGTTTTTAAATATTGATTTAATTGAAGATTATCGATATAGTAATGGAATCTAGATAATTTTAAACGAAGATAATGTTTTTGATTTGTTTGAAAATTAGGAAGATTATAATTAATAAGAAAAACATGTATAATTGCAATTTTATTCCTTCTATTTCAGGTAGATTTATCTATGCTAATTGTTTGATATTCACACTGATTTTAATTGTTGTTTGTCACATAATAACAGAAAACATGTCCGATACACTCAATTGACTTCATTACTATGTTTGTTCTGGAACATAGAAATAGATACATACGTTTCTATATAGTTTATGCAATGGTTGCAATACAAGGAAGATCATAAAGAAAAAGTACACGTAATCAGACGACATACAATATGCTCAACATAAACAAAATTATTTATTAGTAAAAGATTTTAATGAATAATTATCTTTCAGATTATGGTTATCGTTCAATTTATGGTGATAGAAGTTATGAAGAAATTTGTCATCAATGCTTACGAGGTAACTACCTCCTAAACTAGTATCCACCGTTTGAACTCATATTGCATTCCCCAGGAAGTCAAGGTAAAACTAGAAAAGTTCTAAAAGGATTCGTGTTCATGAGCCTCTGAAGCCGAGCAATAACAATTTTATTGTGTTTTCGATACGACGATAGCTATTTATCGAAAAATCTAATAATAATATTTCGACCTGAAGTTTAACCCATAAAATGGTCGTTTGCAACAAAAATCGAGTGTGCTCGAAAATTTCATATCACGGCAAAGGAACACTCTTTTCGGCTAATAATTTCAGGATATTCCCAGAGTCATCACACCTATATATGGGTGAGATGTCAGATCGAAATTTCGTTATTTCGTTTTTCGATAATTACCTAGAACTAAATCGAAAATTTACTAAAACGGTCATAGCTTAGCTCTAGAAGTTCATGGATATAATCGCGTTTAAGAATTTTCTAGTCTTATCGAGACCTTCTTGTGAAGTCAAAATCAGCTCAAACGGTGCATATCACTTCGACTAGTTCCCTAGTTAGTTTTTGTAGTAAGAAAATTCATTTTCTTAGTTCATATAGAGTTTCTTCTTTTCTTTTTTTTAGGCGTTGTTCACATCAGATCTTAATTTAAGATGAACAATGATTATCTTGGATATTCTTATTGTTCATTGGATCATCATCTACTCGTTTTCGAAGATTTTATTTGTGTATAATACAATTGCATTGATGTAAATAATTTTCTCGTGTTCATTTGTTTATGTTACAACCATGTCATGTTATTGATAACAGTTTTTTTTTAATTGTTTGATATTAAGATGAAATAATAATAAAGGTATGCACATGAGTTATCACGCGAACATAAACTTTCAACATGTGTTGAATAAAACGCTATCAGTTGTGATTAACAATAGTATGGACTAACTATTTAAAAAAGAAATGCTATATAGAACTAGGTTAAATGTTTATCTACTTGAAAAAAAGTTATGATGCCTCTTTTAGTCTTCACTGACAAGACAAAAAATTAATCAAAGAAAAAAAACAACTAAGATAAGATGGTTATCAAGGGATATTTAACTAGGTTTTTTCTATTTTCATTATATCAATTACACTTGCAATTTTTTTACTATGTCACGAAGTTATTATACATTTGTTCTACTTTGTTTCTTTGCTCTTAATGTCATAATAATTGAGAGTCGATCAATATCCGAAGATACTATTAAATCTATTCTCAGTGATCCATTGAATGATGATCATCGAAAGTTATTACATGCTTTTACTGGTTATCGTCATCGCTTTGAACAATCTTCTAATTTCAAAGCACTTCGATGGACATTAGGAAATCAAAAAATGTCTGGATTATGTGATCTTTGTGATCTAGGCGTACCTCTAGTAAGTTAATATGTTAATTTTCAATTTTAAAACTTGTCTTCAATTCTATATAATAGATTCGATTACTCCTTGAACTTAATCAAACTAGTCTCATTGACGAAGTAGTTGGCATCTTTTGTAGAGAATATATTTTACTTGATGAAAATGTCTGTCTTGGTGCTGCTCATGAATATATGGTAAGAAAATTTTGTTTGTTTTTCAAAAAGAAAGATTACTTTTGTTTAAATAGGGTGTAATGTTTCAAGTTGTTGAATTAACTCATTTTAATAATAAACAACTTTGTTCATTAGCATTTGAATGTGAACCACAAAGAGATTTTCCTATTTTTAGTTGGAATGTAACATTTCCTGATAAACCAAAACCATCACCTAGACCGCCACAACCTCCATCAGTGAGTATTATTTAAATCAAATTTCATAATCAAAGTATTTAACAAAATTAGTTCTGTTTTGAACGAATGATTAAATACACAGCGATACGATACTTTGTTTTTTATTTATTGTAGCCAGATTCACCAAAATTGAATATTCTTCATTTGTCTGATTTGCATGTTGATTTTTCCTATAAACCAGGATCACAAGCTGATTGTTCACAACCTTTATGTTGCAGAGCAGGTCAACCAGGTAATTATTATTATGTATGATGTTTTATGAATCATATTTTAATATGTCTTACTTTATTTTCCATAGTTCCTGGTCATATAGGTGCTGGTTTTTGGTAAAGAATTCGAATAATTTTGAAGTATATTATATTTATATCGATGCTTTAGGGGTGATTATCGAAATTGTGATATTCCTTTTTGGACAGCTCAAGCTCTATTGAAATATGCTGCCGAGATCGAAAAAGTAATTTTTATCGATGCAAATTCATTTTATGTATATATATTATTTTTGACAGGTAGATTTTATTTATTATACAGGTGATTTACCAGCTCATAATGTTTGGAATCAATCTCGTACTGATCAACT